TCTACCCTGGTCTATGGGTTACTAAGAGTCAGAGTCAACTCGATGACCATGCGTTCTACTTTACCAGGAGGACAGTGTCCTCCTCTAGAGACTGTCTGCCTCACTCAGGCTGCTGCTCCTTTCTTCACAGCGCTCCTCACAAGTTGACATTCTATTGTCATACGTCTGGTACTGTATATCTTTCCCATAAAAACAAGCTTTCACGAGACCAGGGATATTGTCCGTGTCCATCACCAGTGTGTAAAGCAGGGTTTGTAGTCTCCGTGTTTAAAGCAGGGTTTGTATTCCCCGTGTTAAAAGCAGGGTTTGTATTCCCAGTGTTTAAAGCAGGGTTTGTATTCTCAGTGTTTAAAGCAGGGTTTGGCTTATAATAGGTGCTCAGTAACATGCATTCAATGGTGACTAGATTATCTTAATTTATAAAACTTATAAAAGATAGTTAATTTTAGTCTCTTCATTTGCAGATGAGACATTTCAGGCTTGGAGAAGATCCTTGCCTATAGACAAGGGGCAGAGCCAGGATTTGACTCTGAGTCTTAGTCCCATTATGATACCAGAAATCCTGCTTTCTTCTTTGCTGGCCTCATTCTCAGGTGGGCTGTCTTCCTAGGGTGCTGGAGATGAATTCTGGCACCTCCCATGATAAAAGATCATCCCATTTCCTGATCATTCTAGACAGAGTCTCCGCGAAGGCTCTCATTGTCTCCATCTGAGTCACATGTCTGTCTTTGAAGTATTTATTGTGTTCAAGAGGAGGACTATTCTGATTCTCCTGCCTACTTTTGCAGCTAGAGGAGAGGCTTTGACTAGATCAAATCTCATGGCCTCAGGGTGGGAAAAGGGGGTTCCTCAGAAGATAATTTGGAGGCTGTTCCAAAAAGATGCAGAAAGCGATACTAGATAGAACAACTGGCCTGATTTCTCTCACCTCACGCCCACCTCTGTCATTTCTGTCATGGTGAAGGATAAGTCCAGGAACTTGGGACACTCAGTATGTTTGGGGAACAGACCAGGTCACACTGTGTCTCTATTGTGAAAACGGACTATAAAGCCCAGAACTGTCCCTGGTCAATGCCATGGCCATGAACTGAGCTCAGATCCTCGGTGAAGGGATGTCTGTCTTGGTGACTTTGTTGTCTATGACCAGAACAAATAAGGTTTATTTTATGATTTTCGGGGGTGTGTGAATTATATAGTGAGGGGGGTTTGCATTTCAGACCGTCCACTCTGCATTCACTAGTCCAAACCACTCCTCACTCCCCAACCCCTCCAGTCTTCTCTCCCACCCACTCTTGTGATTTCCCTTCTCCCGCTCATGGCCAGGACTGGAACTGGGCCGATTGAAGGCCTGGGGAGAGAAGACACGAAGACGAAGGATGGATTCTATTTCACCCCCTGCTTCTGCTCCCCGGCGAGCCTCCAGCTCCTCCCCTGTCCCGGTTCACCCACAGCAGGAAAGACAGACCAGAGGGAGCGAGAGCTGCAGCAGACATCCTCTCCCTAAGTGGAGGAGTTGAAGCAAGATCACCTAAAGGAACATGATGACATTCTGTGGTCTCTTGGTGTTCCCAGTGAAACATCTAGTCCATATTTTTGAGATTTTCCTGTGTGGAATTGCACACGGTCACCGCCAGAGCCGCTAACATTCATGCAGCCTTTGCCTTGTGCTGAGTTTAGTACCTCACAAGTGTTTCATCTCATTCGATTCTCAGAACAAGCCCTCGAGAAAGGCTCTGCGGCTCCCAGTTCAGCACCAAGGAAAAGGACTCGCAGGGATCCTCCCAAAGTCACAGCACGGGGCAGGATTCGAACCCAGATCGCTTTGTCTCTGGAGCTTAAACGGATCACCACAGTGCCAGAGTGGACAACCCATTAGCTTTCAAAGACCTTTGGGGATCCCCAGGTAGCCTGTCCCCACAGAGGATGCTTCTTTGAACAACAGAGTTGGTCCTCCCACCACAGAACTCCACCGCATGTAAACAGTTTGATATCCTGCTTAATTACAGGGTATTTTAATGATCACGATTGCAGGCAATCCATCAGTCACCCTTAATGGCCCCGCTTAGTTATTTATGCAGCTTGTTTTCTCTTCCCACCTCTTCTATTTCGCAGCTTTTCCTCCTCCCCCCTGCCACTCCACCCCTAAATCTAACTCCCCAGAAAACCTGAAAGGGGGTGTGGCTGGAAGATGACTCAGAGCTCTCTCAAAGTCTCTTTGGGTGGATATAGCTTCTAGGGATTTCAGGGCGTGGGCTGGAGACCTGCTCAGCTGCTGCCACAGGTTGGTCCCTCCGTGATGCTGTCGCACAGCACGCTGCTCAGTTCACTCAGGGTCTGGATTGTCCTGGGACATGAGCCCCCAAGGATTCTGGAGCTTAACCAATGGGATGGCAGGTGGTTTCCTTGTGGCCATGGAGAGCCCTGCCATCCTTGTTAAGGCAGCGAATTAAAGGACGTAAGATAAACCATCACTCACTCATGGGAGAACTACTAGGGCACTCTGGGTCAGCATCACCCCCACCCCCGCCCCGCCCCCCACCATGTTGCAAGCTGCACCGATGTCCCACTTGCTCCTGAGAGATTACGTGTCAGTTGAATGACTACTAAGTGCCAAGAGATCTACAATCTTCTCCACACTCTGTCCTTGAACTAGCTGTGTGACTTCTCAATGCCTTTCATCTTCTCTCTTGTTCTCCCCTTCATCCAGGGGAGCCCTGGTGGCATAGTGGTTCCAAGTTGGGCTTTGCTCTGCAAGGTTAGCCCCCAGCCGCCACAACCCCCCCCCCCGAAAGATGGAGCTGTCTACTCCTGTACTCAGTTACAGTCTAGGAAACTCACAGGGTCACTGTAAGTCGGCACTGACTTGAGGGAAATGAGTTTGGTTTTGTGGTTTCATCGAAGTTAATGTGTGCTGGCCTTCTAGTTGTGATTTATTCTCTCTTCTCTGGCCCTGGTTACAAGAATGTTTCTGTGAGTGTGAAAACCTTCTTTTGATTTTTCAAAAGAAATGATAGTGATCCCAAGCAACATTTGTCCATGTGCGATTGAATTATGGATTTCACTCAGCATAATGTCCGCCAGGTTCAACGTGCTGAGATGTTTTGCAGATACATCGTTGTTCTTTAGGGTTGCATAGTATTCCATTGTGCACATGTGCAATAACTTGTTTATTCACTCTTCCATGGATGGGCATTTTCACCTTTAAATTAAAAAAAAAAAGTTCCATCCACCACCTTCATGGCTATATTTACAGCAAAGGTAAATACACATCCTCCCATCCCGTTGCTGCAATGCATATGGTTGTACAGGTATCTGTCACATCACAGCTCTTTTTCCTCCAGGATATCTACCAAGCATTGGAATGACTGGATCCTATGGCATTTCTGGTTCCAACTTTTTAAGGAAGCAGTGGCAATGTGGGTTAGACATTGGGCTACTAACTGCATGGTCATTGGTTCAAACCCACCAGCTCATCCACAGAAGAAAGAAGAGGCTGTATGCTACTGTAAAGATTTGCCCTCCTGGTAATGCTACACAAGGTTGCTATGAGCCAGAATTGACTAGATAGAAGTGGTTTGGTTTTGGGGGGAATGTCAGGGTGGATGGTCATTTTAACAAAGAAGAGTTAAACTAGAGACTATCTGTAACAGGAGCCCCATTGGTGCAAAACATTAAGTGCTTGTCTGCTCACCAAAAGGTTAGTGGTTTGAACCTACCCAGTCACACTTCAAGCTCTTCAAGAGAAAGATTTGGTAATTTTCTCCGGTAAAAACGACAGCTTTACTGCCCGATGGGGCAGTGCTACTCTACCACTGTGAGAAGAAAATTACTCAATGGCACCTAACAGGAAAAGTACAGCACTCCCCAGATCCTGAGTCTCCCACGATTGCCTGCCTGGAGGGGCTCCCTGACCACTCTTTGTTCCGTGTCCTCTGTTGTAGTGTATCCTGTGGACCACGGACAGTTTGATTCTAGGGGTTATAAATGCCCTCCGTCAACAGTCAAGTCAGCACTTGGAAACCACCAGCTGCTTCATGGGAGAAACGGAAGCTGTCTGCTCCCATGAAGAGTCCCAGCCTCTGAAACCCACAGGAGCAGTTCTCCCCACGTGGGAATTGACAGTGGGGTTTGGGGCTGCTCTTGGTAGCTTTCCCAGGACAATTCTAGTTTGTATTTGGGAACAGAGAGAAGATATTGTGATGTTGTTCATGGGGATGATGCGAGTGAACGGGTCTTCATTTTGTGAATGTTTATTGGCTTAATTTGAACGTTAACCTTCCTAGAGTTGGGTGTATATTTGTAGTTGTTTGTGGTGATTTCAAATGGCAATCCCTGTCATTAACAACGAGGTGAAAAATAATTCAAGGGGGGAAACAGAAGTTCACGTTGCAGGGTGAATTAAGTACGCACAGGTCATCTCATGCATACTTACTGCTGTCTGGGATGAAGACTGGTCCCTGGGAGTCCTGGGGATTGTCAATGTTTTGTGTCCTTCCACCATGTGGTGAGTAAACACTGCGACTAACTCTTCGCTCTTCTGCCTCTTTCTCTTTGTTCTTCAAGGGAGTGGTTGACTATGCCTATTTCCTCTCTGATGGGAAACCGGGTTGGACTTCCCTTTGGTCCTTGGCTTTGGTGTTGGTGTGCAGCAATCAACCAGAATATTTTAACCGATATTCTTGCAGGATTCCAGTCTGCTTGGCTCTTTGGAGCCCTATCTGATTCCAGGATGGTGCTTTTCCGGACAGATGTGAAGCTCAGCTCTCTTGCTACATGCACAGTGAAAATGGAGCTTGGCTCCCCCGGCTTGCATGGGTAGTTTTGGGTGAAGGTAGAATGAAGTAACTGCCCAGAAGCTGAGCCCTTTTGGGTCTTGCATGAACTTGATAGTCATGCAAGGGTGTATTGTACTGTGTGCAGGTGTGCCGCTAACTCGCTTCTCCCTTTTTCTCCCCTTCTCTCTCCTCTCCCTTCCCCTCCTTTTGAAAATGCTGCCACAGATGTCAGTCAAGGTCCAGGTGAGTCTTTGTGTTTGCACAGCTGCCCTGGGAATCCCCTCTCTGCTCAACTGTGCATGTGGCTTGAGTGACTCTGAGTGAGGCCCTTTCCGGGGGATGATTACAGGACATCAGCTTGCTATATTACACTTGGGTTTAGAGGAAGAAATGCCTCAGATTGATGGGTTCACATTGGTTTCCAATAACCTTTTTATTCCCAAACCAAAAGAATGGAGTTTCCATGCTTAAACAAGCCCTTCGATCTGGGTCATGTTTCTGGCTAAATCAAGGAAATGGGAAGTAAGCAGCATTTGAAAACATCTGTTCTCAAGATATCTGTCCTGCAACCCAAGGGATATGTTTGCCTTGCTGTCCATGAATCTTGTCTTTGTAGCTCCCTGTGGTGGGAAGAGGGAGACAGGACACACTTAGGATGGAAACTACCAGGCCGGTGAAACAAGGTTTCTTTCTTTCATTTTATTTTAGGAAATGCCCTCCCCCCCCTCCCCCACTGTGAAATGAACAATGTTGGTTTTCTCCTCCCTGGTCATGCAAATCATACTTGTTCACTGTAAAAAAATAAAATAAAATAGATGAAAAAGAAAAAGTAGAGGAATGGCTTTTGCCAATATGGAAGAGCCACAATAAGCATACGCTTCTCTTTTTAAAAGCCATCCCCATCCTAATGTTAAGCAGTCTGTGCATGTATGTGTATACATAGGCATCTGTACACATCCACGTATGCATAGGTACATGCAAATATGCAAGTCTACTGCAAACATAGACAGAGAGATGACCCAACAATGTCACACAATGCTGTGCCACGTTTGGAGACCATTCCAAACGGCCTCGGTTTTTGTGAGAGAAGAATAATTAACCTCACCGAGTAGGCAGGAAGCATCATCTTACTGGAGAACTCTCTGGTGTGTTCACCGGTTCAGTCCTTATAGCTTGGATACTCCTGATATCATCAAAGCAAGGGGGGTATCATTCTCCTCACTTGGGTGTGAAGGGCATCTAAGGCCTGCCAGGTCACAGTCGGCCTGAGGTTGTTGAGCGAGGCGGTGGAAGCGCTGCAAAATGGGCAACGAGCATCTCCTGACTCACAAGCCCAGGCCCCCTCCGCTGGGACATGCTGGGTCCCCTGACTGATAGGGCCCAGGTCCCCTCCGCTGGGTCCCCTGACTGATAGGGCCCAGGTCCCCTCCGCTGGGACATG